AATTTTATGCCTTAGTCGCAATTAGGGTGGAAGGAATGAATTTGTGAATTGAAAAATTTTTTTTTGCAATCTCTTCGCTCTTTCAAAAATTCACTCCTCCTTCCCTAACAGGTTCTAAGGGATGAAATTTATATCACGTATTGAGTATAAAGTGCTCAACACGTTGGCACAAATTTCATTCCTTAGTCGCACTTAGAGTCGGAGGAATGAATTTTTGAATTGAAAAAAAAATTTTTTTTTCAATCTCCGCACTTTGGAGAATTCATTTGAAAAAAAATTTTTTTTTCAATCTCTTCGCTCTTTCAAAAATTCACTCCTCCCTCCCTAACAGGTGCTGAGGGATGAAATTTGTGTCACTCATTGTGTATTAAATGCTCAATACGTTGGCACAAATTTCATCCCTTAGTCGCAATTAGGGTGGGAGCAATGAATTTGTGAATTGAAAAAAAATTTTTTTTTCCATCTCTTCGCACTTTAAAAAATTCACTCCTCCCTCCCTAACTGGCCCTAAGGGATGAAATTTGTGTCACTTATTGAGTATTAAATGCTCAACACGTTGGCACAAATTTCATCCCTTAGTCGCAGTTAGGGTCGGAGAAATGAATTTTTAAATTCAAAATTTTTTATTTTTTTTTTCCATCCGTTCGCACATTCAAAAATTCACTCCTCCCTCCCTAACTGGCGTTAAGGGATGAAATTTGTGTCACTCATTGAGTATTAAATGCTCAACACGTTGGCACAAATTTCATCCCTTAGTCGCAATTAGGGTCGGAGGAATGAATTTTTGAATTGAAAAAAATTTTTTTTTTCAATTTCTTTGCGCTTTCAAAAATTCACTCCTCCCTCCCTATTAGGCGCTAAGGGATGAAATTTGTGTCACTCATTGAGTATTAAATGCTCAACACGTTGGCATAAATTTCATCCCTTAGTCGCAGTTAGGGTCGGAGGAATTAGTTTTTGAATTGAAAAAAAACTTTTTTTTTCAATCTCTTTGTACTTTTGAAAATTCACCCCTCCGTCCCCAAAAGGCGCTAAGGGATGAAACTCGTGTCATTGAATTGAGCATTTAATACTCAATAAGTGACACAAGTTTCATTCCTTAGCTATAATTCGGGGGGGAGGGATGAATTTTCAACCGAGACGCGCGTTCCCCGCATTACTCGACGCTGTAACCAATGGAAAGACGATCGGTTGATCGTCCTTCCATTGCGTGTGGAGGGGGAATTATGTTCTCTATTCATTCTCTCCTCTTCGTCATTCCAGCGAACAGAGAGAGCGAGAGAGAGAGAGAGAGAGAGAGAGAGCAATTTCGTTGCGCTCTTTTGTCTCGTAGAATGGTGGGGCGGGCACACACACATATGCTGCATATCACATGGATGTGCGCCCGCTTAAAAATCACTCCCCATTGGCCCACCCTTAATTGCCAATAACTTTTTAGGGGTGAGTCTGATCAAAAAGTGCAAGAGGACTTTTCTGCTCAGAATCACCCCCTGATCCTAGGGTGTTCAGATGTACATGTACTTCTGAAACACCCTGTATATACGATCTATTGTCAAGTGTATGTCGAGTCCCTGACGAAAGTTGTCCGTTTATGCTAGTCGATATTTCATCAAATGTTGACACTAGCAGACGTCGAAATGATATCGATATATGTCAGATCTTGTCACTCGACATGTGATGGGCCAGTGTTCAGGTCAGTGACCCGAACTGACGTCGAAGTGATGACGAGGATTGGTCAAGTCTGGCCGTTTACATGCACGACCTTTTGTCGAGTGTATGTCGAAATCCTGTCGAAAGTTGTCCGATTATACTAGTCGATATTTCATCAAATGCTGACACTAGCAAGTGTCGGTAATTGGTCGAGCGCGGTAATTTTCAAGGGAAATAATGATGTCGAGATTATGTCGAGGCTCTGTCGACTGTATAGAATTATACCAGTCCAAATCCTGTCGAATATTGGTAGTAGCACACGTCGAAATGATGTTGATAATTGGTTAAGTGTGGTAATTTCCAGGGTAAATAATATTATCGACATCATGTCGAGAGATTGTCGAATGTAGTCCGGTTATGCCACCCCACAATTTATCGGATGTTGATACTAGTAAGTGTCGAAATGATATCGACATAATACGTCAAGTCTTAAATTAGCAGAATAGAAAATCCATTAAGTCCTTCAATTAGCATAACCGCCATTCTGTCGAAATCACGTCAGGGCTCTGTCGAACTTCGTTCAATCATACCAGCCACCATTTTATTGAATGTTCATCCAATGAAACGTCTGAATAATGTAATAGTACATTAGAGTACAAGGGCACAAATTTCGTTTTTAACGAATGTGTAGTTTACAGGCCGAACCGAAGGCGAGGTCTGTACACACATTCGTTGAAAACGAAATTTATTACCGAGTGCTCTATAATATTTTATGTCAAGTCGTGCAGAAGTCGAGTTTTGAGCAGGCTGCGCGAAGCGCAGCGTGCGATAAACTCTACTTATTGCACCGCGCGACATAAATATATTTATACTTTTATGAATGCAAGTGTTAAGGGCAATGACTTCAACTGACAGTTGGACGATGTCTATAATCGACCAAGTATGTTAGTTCTATACNCAGTGTTGTCAGGTCGTAACGTCAGCCCATTTAAAATTGTACAGGATTTGGCTATAAATAGCCAAAATCTGGCAACCCTGCCATGAAGATCATCTACTACTACAGGGCTTACCGCAAAGTCGAAATGATTTAAGCAGAGTAATTCAGATGGAATTTCTTTTATGCCTTCAATGGTTTTTTTACTGTTATGAGCTGCAAGGATCTGTTGGCGGACACTCTCATCAGTGCGCATCGTAGGCTCTGGTATTTCGGGATGTNTAGTTCAATCTGATGTCGAACATAGGACTGACCATCATTAAATGTCTCAATGGTTGCCAAAATCTGTCAATCGTTGAAATTGCAAGAAGTATTAATCGAGATATATGGAGTCAGATAGTATGTAATCATCCAAAGTGATATAATAACATTGAAAGAGTGCTGATATTGAATGGACATTTCAACATATCGAAATGAATCGAGTAGTGTCCACATAGGAAATCATCGAATAGTGAATAGTTTAATGAATCGTACACCANGAATAGTGAATAGTTTAATGAATCGCACACCATTTTCTCAGTAAACTTAATTCTTTATTAATTCTCGTTTCCATTGACTATGAATAAAATATATCTTGTTAATCAATTTGCTATTGATTTGTGAGGGGGATAAGATAAAGTTCATTTGCAATAGAAATTTCAATCAATGGACATCTACAATTATTCATCAGGAAGAAAGCACTCTCATCGGTTGTCTCCGCTACTACGATATGATCTGTACCACGCAAACCAGTGTTAACTGCATATGGAAAAACAAATATGCCACATAGTTCAGTATTATTGTGTTGAAATGTGATAATTCGATTAATTTCGCAGTAAGTACCATCCCACATCAGGAGTTTAGTGTCATCAGAACGATTTCCTCTCTCATATTGCAGTGAACCATATTCAATACTATTGTGTAGAATTCTTTGATACTCAACTACTTCATCGCATTGGTAGACATGTTTTTCGAGTAAAGACTTCGCCTTATCAGNCTTTTATGCCTTCAATGGTTTTTTTACTGTTATGAGCTGCAAGGATCTGTTGGCGGACACTCTCATCAGTGCGCATCGTAGGCTCTGGTATTTCGGGATGTGGGAGAATCGGGTATCTCATATTGCTAGCTACATAAATTCCTATAATTGTACAGAAAGTTCAACCATAGTACCCAGAATACTGGGCCATACCAAGAAGCTTGCAACGACACTTAGAATCAACAACACAACATGTTGGTATGAATTTACTCGTCACGTCGGATGATCTATCAGGTTTCCAACGAATCCCTTTGGAAGACAAATGATTCGCCTCTTCCACAAATGGTTTCAAGTAAGAGTTCATATTCGGCTCATCTTTGTCATACCACAATTCAGCAAGAAACATGTACTTCTGTCTCAGATTTGGTGGCACCTCATTGATGATAATGAAAATAGGCCATGCTGAAGCCCCAGATGACCGATGTACATTGAATCCATCTGTATTGAATGAATAAGTAAAATCACTTGATGAAATGATGTTCTCTTGTTGTAACCTAATATAAGCTTGGCCATCGAAAATATCCTTGATGTTATCTTCAACCTTCTTCACTCTCTCCGAACGATAATTCAATATTTTCTTCATATTTGGCACCTTTAAAAACGGTTTTAACTGATTCTCCAAACTGAGAGTCAAGAAATACTTCATTTTCCCTTTTTCTACATTGACTTTACAAATATCGCAGTAACAGTAAGTGGCTTTCATTACATCAATATTACCCAAAAATTAGAGCACTTTGGACAATACCCATTCTTAGTAACCCCTGATGAATTTCTGTTTATAGTTGTCCACAATTTCTGTTTATTCGTTGGTAGGTAGTTGCATCCGAAGAGAGTGTTGTCATTCTTCATGGAATCAATCAGGGCTTCATAAGTCCAATCATGTCTGACTGATGAAGCTAAAGATATCAATAGAGCTTNTTATTCATTAGCTGATTTTGTTTCTTTCCGTAGGGAACTAAGAAACAACAACTAGAAATAACAATTTAACAAGATATGAGGCACGTAACAAACAAAATTATTATCATATAGTAGCAAGAATGAATTTTTCATATAATGTATTTATCGGCTTTCGACAATGTCAAATAGTGGAATAAAATAGGAATATACTACGTCTTTTTCCATTCCATTGAAATCAAATGTCAAATAATTATTTTAATTCGCTTTAAAAAAAATGAATGAATACTATTTGATCGCAGCGATGTAGTCAAGTGGGAATATCTATTTCAAATGGAATTTAATTGTGCTGAACTATTTAAACTAGTCTTTCTATGTGAATATATAGTACCCAGCTCTGGTTCTTACCTCAACAAGTTTGTTGACTTAGAGTAATGAGTAAACTAATTTTATTGTTGTAGAGTCACACAGGGATAGGTTGTAATTAGTTTCAAATGTGCCGCATAATACTCCTCTCGAAAAGCTGCGATTTAAACATCTCCAAATGCAGGTTTGCTAGGGTCATCTGAATCGACAAGTGAGCAGAAAACGGGCCGTCCTCCAATACCACTCTATTCTCTATGACTGTTGAATGACTGCACTTGTCTTAAGAAAACCCCGATAAAATCCGAGATGTAAAACACAACATTTTTCTTTCGCTGATTCCCCAATTTTTTTTTCCGATGCGTGAGTTGTCAATATGTCAAACTCTTTACGACAGTGTCCATTTTGCCTCAATGACCACCTGAGCTGAATGACGGTGCTGACTCCCCACAGTGCGGTCACTTTGGGGTACTAAAGTGCCACAAATGTTATGTCCTACCGAAGTAACTAGGAGGACAGTAGCGCCAATGAA